TGGGCATCACCCATTGTGATTGTACTCAAGAAAAATGGTGTGGATATTCGAATGTGTGTCGACTACCGAGTTGTCAATGGTTTCATTACGTTGTCCAATTACCCCTTACCATTGATAGATGATCTGCTAGTTGATTTTGAAGACGTCATGTGGTTCATGAGTTTGGATTGGCTAGTGGACTTTGGGCGATCAAGATGTCCGAACAAGCAAAGCTGATATCGGCGTTCGTCTGCCCATTTGGGCATTTCAATGGACTCAAATGCCATTTGGACTCATGCGCCACGGATATACCAGTCAGTTATTAATAACTGTCTGTGGGGATTTGTGAGACTGCCGCCGGAAGAAGAAGCAGAAGTCGATCAAGATGTCTTGGATTTCCTAGGTTTGGATACTGCAGAGAGTCGAGAATCCGGAAAGAGCTGTCCAAACGACAAGCTGAAGGGACTTACAGACTCAATGACAGTTTCCAAAGGAATATCCCCATGCCCTCACACATCGGTCCAGTACTAGGTCGCAGTTCCTATATCGATGATATCACCCATGGCGCGAAAACATGGAATCAACTGTGTGAGAACCTGGACACTTTGCTCTATCGCTTACGTTACTGGAATATCTCGGTGATTGGAAAACGATCGATCCCCTATCTGTCAGATGAAATTAGTGCAGAAGGTATCCGAGCGACCCCAAAAATTGCGAAGGGTGTTAGGGATCTACCGTTCCCCCAAATCCCACAAAGGTGTGTTATCGTTTCTTGGAAGTCTGAACTACTATCATAAGTTCATTGAAGATTTTCCGGTAGTGGCAGCAGTTCTTTATGAACTTTCAGAAGACCAGATACGTCAGGGACGAGACCTCTCACGAGCTCATGAATCATTCGAACTGCTTAAAAGAACAATTGTTGCAACGCCAATGTTGAGACATCCAGACATCCAAAAACCATTTGTGGTTATTCCGCACGCGAACCGTTGGGCTGCTTGTGCAGTCGTAGGACAAGAACACGA